GGGTAATTAGGGGCTACACATTAGACCCTAGAAAGGACATTAGGAAGGACATCACTGTAGCAAGGAGAATGTGACCTTGACCAGCAGAAAGGGAACAGCCAACATCAACATCTCAGTAAGAATCGGTGGTAACAGCCCGGCCAGGCGTGGCTCAGCAGTTGAGCGTTGACCTAGGATCCAGGCGATCAGGGTTCTATTCCCAGTCAGGGCACATGCCCGGGTTGCGGGCTCGATCCCCAGTGGGGGGCGTACAGGAGGCAGCCCATCAATGACTCTCATCATTGATGTTTCCATCTCTCTCTCCCTCTCCCTTCCTCTCTCTGAAATCAGTAAAGATATATTAAAAAAAAAATCAGTGGTACCAACAGGGGATTCTTACACCTAAAAGGTTTATACAGTGACAGCATTTTCAGTCACTAAATACACTCTAGAGTACTGCCCTGGTCGGGTAACTCAGTAACTCAGTTGGTTAGAGTGCCATCCCAATACGCCAAGGTTGTGGGCTGGATCTCCATTCAGGCACATACAAGAATCAACCAACCAGTGCATAAAGTGGAGCAACAAATCTATGTCTCTCTCTATATAAAATCAATAAATTTTTAAAAATAAAGTCAATACACTTATTTTTATGCTATGGAATTTAAATTCAATAATTTATTTGTATTTAGGGGGACACTGTTAATACCAGTAGGAACATGGGAAATTCAGATTACTATACAACTTAAAACTATGCATCATACACATAGGAGCCCATTTCTTTGGCTACATGAAACCTTTTGCACAACTTTCCTTTCAAAACCCAGCAGTTTGGACCTAATTAACTGTGAACCTATGTTCTCCCTTTCTCTCTCACATGAGAAGTTACATACATGAAGACTGGGAGAGACACCACCCTAGGAACAATCTCTCAATCGAAATGACAGTCAGAGGAGCATATGCATTCCTCCAGGCAACATATGAGATGGCTGATGAGCCCCTTTTCCAGAAGCTCCACCAAGTCCCTTCCCTCCTGCTCTTTGGAAGCCCCCTGCAGACCCCTTCTTCCTGCCTTTCACCTCCCAGGACTGAGCCCTTGGCCCCAGTCCCTCCTCACTACTCTCAATACTCACGGGGCTCCGTGGATGCACATGGGGACAGCTCCCAGAGTCCCACACCCAGCTCACACTTCTTTCTACTCCCAGAATGTACTCTAGTGCCTCTGACATACCTGTGTGGGTCCCTTAAACTTAGAGTTTCAACTCATCACCTCCCAGAACACCTCCTTAGGCCCGTCTCCCTCATCCCCTCTAGAGCATGGCTGCCCCTAGGAGCTGCGGGTGGGATGAGGCAGGGACTGTCGTGTCTTCCTCTCTGTGCCCCACATCTAGCACAGACGACAGCTTAGTGGCTGCTCTTCATCCACTCCCACTGCAGCACTTGGTCACGCCTTAGGGACACACTCATCTGGTTTGAATGCCAGTCATCACACTGAAACCGACATACTCCCAGTGGTTCTCTCTTTCTGTCTTTGGTCACTTACAGTGATGTGGCCCAATCCACCAAGCTGGCAGTCAGCAGGTCATCACACATCTGTTTTTTTCCAAAGTGGAAATCTTTGCCACTGTTACCTCTTCTGATTGGATAAGCAATACAGACTTGTTTGAAAAATGAGGCCTCCACCTAATTCCGTGGCTCAAAGGGGACACTGCCTGGCCTGAGCTCTCCTCTTCCCACTTTTTATGAATCTATAAATATCTTTTTTTTTTTTTTCAAAAATAGAATCATCCTATTTAAATGGTTCCAGTAGCCATGGGTTTTCCTCCATGTAACTGCACATTGGGCTGGCCTCCCTGGTCACACTGCAGTGTCACCTGGTGTGACAATGCTGCAATGTATGTGCCGAGCCCCTACTAAGGGGTGGCTGCACTGCTGTGAGTCTTCCCGCTAAACAACCTGAACCAGGGCAGCATGGAAGTTTCACCAACACGTATTTGCACATGCTGGAACTCCTCAATTAGAGTTGTTCCTGAAAGCACAGGCCTCAACCCATGTTCTGGTACTACTTTCTGACGCACACTGCCACTGCCCACCCCCTGGGAAGACAGTTCCATTTCCACAGACTCTCTGAGTGACTTCCTGCTCTTTTCTAGCGTACAGGGACTTACTAAGCCCTTCCCTAAAAACATCATTTTAGTTTAAAAATATCTAACAAGTAAAAACTACAACACGCTAATTCATTGGAGTCACAGATTTCTGTTAGATGACACAGTGGCCCTGACCTTCAATATGGGATTCACTTCATCTGTGAAATAGAACAGAAATTAATAATTTCCTAATGCTCTAGAACTGCTATCCAACACAGCTGCCAGTGCCACAGGTGGCTGTTCAAATTTAAATTAAATTAAATGTAAAATCCAGTTCCTCAGTGGCACTAGACACAGTTGGAGCACTCGGTAGCCCTATGTGGTCGTAGCCAGTGTACTAGACAGCATGGGTAAAGAACACTGTCCTCTCCAGAAAGTTCTGTTGGGCAGTGCTGGTCTCCGAACTGAAAGCCAGGATGCTTTCCACTAAAAACTGCAAATGCGCCTTCCCACTCAAGAACAGTGCGGGTGACCTGCACGGTGAGAGCTGCTCTGAGCACTTTTCCACTCTATGATGGATTTGTGCCCCACGGCTTCACACCCTATGCTTAGTTTCCATAGCAACCAAGGAGTGGCGAGAAATGTCACTAACTACATAACTCACATGGGAATTGAACTGTATCCTCCAATTCTCTGTCACTATTATCAACAAAACAAATATCACCTCATCTAAGAAATAAATAAACCCCAAAGTTAGGGCACTACACTACCCTATGATTAAGCTGGATGGTTCTCATTCCTCTAGGCTCATGGAATAGGAATGAATGACTGAATCACAGAGAAATGGTGATTTAACAAAAGGAAAAGTAAGGGGACATCTGTAATACTGTCAACAATAAAATTAAATTAAATTAAAAAGCAAAATTAAAAGTTATTAAAAAGCTCTAAAACATAAAACTAACTAAATAAAATCATATGTTTGGTTCATTTTAACATTAATGCGAGTCTTACAAATAGGGCTGCTCCAGGAAGCGTAACTCAGATCTTCCCGCTCCTTTCTTCCTGCGCCTTCAACTACTTTTCCCCCCGCCCTTCACCAAACCCCTAACAGAACCGAAGTACAGAACAGAGGGTCAAGGTAAAAGTAGCAAACTAAGAGGAGCAAACTGTCCCCTGGACCTGGGAGGACGTTGCAGCCCGCCTGGTTCAGGAAGCAGCGCTGTAAATATTTCAGTTGACTCATCCTGCTCTCAAAACACATCTCACACTGAGGCAACTAACTGACGTGTTGTAACGGCCCAGGACGCACAGACGCCTAACTGCGGGGAAGACCAGGGCCGAAACCTGGGCATTTCCTCCTGGAAGGAAAAGAAGGAACGGCCATTGGCGAGTGAGAGGCAGGAAGACAACTTGACCAACTGGAAAGAGTCAGAGGAGACAGATCAAAAAGGGGACACAGACATTTTTGGGGTTCAGGAAGTAAGAAAGGAGGGAAATGCAGACATCGTGGAGATTGACCAAGGAGTAGAGCCCAGCAAAGCATTCGCAGACATTAACATTAATTGGGTTAATTTTAGCGACACTTAGCTTCTGTGCCTTCAACCCTGGTCTTAAACACGCAAATGCCTTTCTCTGCCTTTCACTGACTTGCCCAGATAACTGGGAGTCAAGTCCCGGTGTCTCTGAACACACTGTGCATCCCCTTTAACGGGAGAAAAACGAGAGTCCTGGACACCCTCAGCCAAGAGAAAAAGAGGGCCTCAGACCACTGGACAGAAAGCCAGGTTCCAGGACTAAGAGAGCACAGGAAGGAACAGAGCCACAATGTCCCAAACTGCTGCTTTCCCACAAAAGGGGACGTGAGCTGATCTCTCCGGCTGATGAGGGTAGAGGTAGGGGGGGGGCCTCTACTGCGAGGTTTCGTCGCACAACCCCTAACTGCAGGACATGTAAAGGCGGCCCTTAAATCGAAACATCTTACGCTGCGAACAGCGGCCCTGTGGCCTCCGTCCCGCCCGGGAGTCTCCCGAACGACTCCAGGGGGTGCTGGGCGGGGACCCCAGGGGCAGCCACTCGCGACTCCACCTCTGGGGAGAACACCTGCGGTTCTCCGCACGGGGCAGGCTGGAGGCAGCCGGGCTTGGCCGGGCCCCGGAGCACTGGCCGCAGAGTCCCCGCTCGGGGGCGCCGGGGGCACGGGGGTCCTCTGGACACTGACTCGGGGTGCGGCCCGCTCTGCGACCGTCGCCCCGCCTCGGTTTCCCGTGGGGCCCTCACCTGCTCCAGGCCGCGGAGGCTGTCCCGGGAGGCCCCCAGCAGCGCGCACAGCTCCAACAGCCCCGA